GTTTGACACCTCTAGTGGAAGGCATGTGCTAAAGAATAACCGAGAGCATGTTTCATTGTGTTAACTTCATTGATTGGGCCAAACAAATCCATGGGCTGAAATTGAATTAATATTATCTGGAGTTGAGGGCGTGTGAATTGGTGGGCTGAACTAGCGTGGTCTCTCCTTCTTTGACTTGGAGATTTTATTTCCAAGCACATCCGTACCTTGTCTCCTTTTTAGAATGGGTATTCCATTATTTTCCCAACTATTCTCGAAAAATCTATTTTCCTTATTTTTGGAGGATTCCCTTTGCCTATAAATATAAAGCTTTAACCTAAGAGCCAAGGGGGATTTTTTCTACCATATGGTTTTCACCATATTTCAATACACCCACAAACATATCAGAGAGAGAGCCAAGAGTTGTTGCCGCAGTGCTTTTAGAGCTTACGAAGGTGTTGATGTGGAGAATTCAGAGATAAAATCTATTTGCCAAATCGGATTTATGACAACAATTCTTTTGTTTATCTTTTCTGTTGTCATGAACTAATTTATCTTGCTAGGCCTATCTAGCCATGAATACTTAATTTTTATAGTTATATTAATTTCTTATTACTATTCCATGTTGAGTATTTGTTAATGTATGCTTAAATATCTAGCTAATATTTAATTGATGATCCAAATGGAGACCAAGAGGAGATGTTTGTGTTTGCTTCTCGTAACAAATACCTTGTCTTGAATGAGTGCCCGAGAGGGACTAACATGACTCATGCAGTTTTCTTGCAGGTTCTCATAGAACTTAATGGGTTTTTAATTTTCTAAATTCGTTGCTCAAGAGAGAATGAGTTGTTAATTGAGAATACTTTTGGTTGAGCACGAGAGGGGGTATTGAATGAATTAGGAGAAACCAACTATCAACATGGGTAGTAATTAGGATTAATTGGCTATAAGAATTAAGTGGAATTGGTTATGGTGAAATCAGAAGCTCTAGTGTCTCATCAACTTGATTTTCCACCATTAATTAAATTGTCATTTTTTATATTTATTTTAATTTAGTTTAATAAATCAATCACTCTCATTAATCAATTGTTCAAATAAACTTCTGAATTAATCATAATTAATACTTAAAAGAAGATTATAGTCTTCGTTGGAACGACACTTCACTTATCTCTATATAGTGCGGATTATGCACTGGCAATAATTTCACAAGAAGCAACTCTTCCAATATTCCTAAATGTTAAAAAATATATATACTCTAGTGTCTCATCAACTTGATTTTCCACTAATAATTAAATTGTCATTTTTTATATTTATTTTAATTTAGTTTAATAAATCAATCACTCTCATTATTCAATTGTTCAAATAAACTTCTGAATTAATCATAATTAATACTAAAAAGAAGATTATAGTCTTCATTGGAACGACACTTCACTTATCTCTATATAGTGCGGATTGTGCACTTGCAATAATTTCACAAGAAGCAACTCTTCCAATATTCCTAAATGTTAAAATATATATATTAGAAATCTTGTTTCATTTCTATATAGAAGCGACAAATAGAAGTCTAAACAATTTTATTTATTTTTGGTGAAAATACAAGTCTAAACATTTGAAACAAGTTACGTGAGTCAACAGAAATTGTGATCAAGACGTACACACGTGAATTAAGAAAACATATTTAACGCACGGCGTAATGTTTAATGATTCATTGACCAAAAACTGAAATGGTTGTATACGTTAGAAAAGAAAGACCAATATTTAATTAGGGTTTACTTGGTGACAACGAAGACTTGGACCAAGAATAGTAAGTAGATCACCAGCCAATCATTTGAGAGGCTGGTACAACAAAAATGAGTTAAATAATGAGCTAGCGTAGTTGATAAGACACTTTAAAAAGATTACATGTTGATTTTCAAAATTTCAAGACTTGTACTTACCCTAATTATTTTAAAAGAAGAGGGGACGCCATCAAAGCTTTAGGCTATTGGTGATTCTAAAGCCCTATCTATAGCATACACATTTTGTTTGGTTTTCTGGAATTGAATATTTTTCCAATCCACAATTTATTCGGAATGTGCTTGGTGTACGAAACGGGGATTAAGATCACGAAATCGTGGCGATTTTTAGAATGATCGCTACCGGATAAAATTAGCGTGTGAAAATAACCACCCTTCAAGAATGAGTTTAGCATTCTCTAAGAATGAGCTCCATATTTTTATTGCAAATTTTTTCATTTCTAGAATTTCCCAACACTAGAATGAGAATGATGACAAAGGAGTCTAGTTCAGTGGAAAAAGGGCATTGACTTGTAAACCAGTGGTCTCAAGTTCGAACTCCCATATCAATTGCTAAAAGAAAAAAAATTAACCAAGAATGAGCTCCATATTTTTACTGCAAATTTTTTCATTTCTAGAATTTCCCAACACTAGAATGAGAATGATGCCAAAGGAGTCCAGTTCAGTGGAAAAAGGGCATTGACTTGTAAACCAGTGGTCTCAAGTTCGAACTCCCATATCACTTGCTAAAAGAAAAAAAAATTAATAAGAATGATATATTCCATTGATTTGTGAAAAAGAAATCAAACTCATGCAAAAAAACAAGTTTAGACTCCTAAAATCCAACGCCACCAAACAGGTAATTGGCCAAACATGAATCCTTTTGCTTGTAAATGCTTCTAACCTAGTGAGAAATCACATTGAAAATTCTTCAGAGACGAGCTAGACAAGTCAAAAATGCATATTGAATAGGCCCATGGCTGCTACATGGCTGGCAGCAATTCTCTTCAACCTATGAGCCATACACTAAGGCAAATCCTTCATCTTATCCCAAAAGGAACTTAATCCTTCATCTAACCTTCTGACAGCGCCCTCAATGACGGGCAAAGAAATATTCTGAAAGTCTTTCTAAGATGGTGCTTCTTAGAGCTTCCCACCCACACTCCTGGTTACAATTCAATAATTAATATGGCAGACTATAAACGTCTCCAAAATTAAAGTCATCATTCGACAGCTCTGTTGCAGAATTTATAACAAAAGGAGATTGTCACCATGCTAGCAGAAAAATAGAGCAGCAAGAATGTATCAGTAACTATAGACAACATAACTTGAAAGATCCAGTCCTTGACATAACCATGAAAACCCGTTGCTCATGAAAACAGACTGGAGAAAATGTGGTTAGGAATTTACGAATGAAATTTCAGGGACAACCAGAACAAATAGTTATCCAATCCACTCCCTCTTTTCAATTGCATCTGCAATTCCAGACAAATGGGTACAAAATCTATCCATAGGACAGATACACAGTTAGTCAGCACAGTTAACATTGTTTGCATCACAGAACCATAACTTTCATTAGAGGGTCATAATTAGGAGAACCAGAAAAGCACACAATGTTCACTCAGTTAGGTTAGTTACCTCAGCAAATTAAGAGGTCAGGAAGTACTTGGTGAAGCTCTAATGGAGGCTCTTACTGCTGCATAAAAACCAACAGCTAAGGTACAAGATCTATTAGGGTTTAAATCATTATGTCTTTTCAATTGCGTCTGCAATTCCAGCCGAATAGGTACAAAATCTATCCATAGGACAGATAAACACAGTTAGTCAGCACAATTAACATTGTTCGCATTCCAGAACCATAACTTTCATTAGAGGGTCATAATTAGGAGCACCAGAAAATCACACAATGTTCACTCAGTTAGGTTAGTTACCTCAGCAAATTAAGAGGTCAGGAAGTACTTGGTGAAGCTCTAATGGAGGCTCTTACCGCTGCATAAAAACCAACAGCTAAGGTACAAGATCTATTAGGGTTTAAATCATTATGTCTTTTCAATTGCGTCTGCAATTCCAGCCGAATGGGTACAAAATCTATCCATAGGACAGATAAACACAGTTAGTCAGCACAGTTAACATTGTTTGCATAACAGAACCATAACTTTCATTAGAGGGTCATAATTAGAAGCACCAGAAAGACACACAATGTTCACTCAGTTAGGTTAGTTACCTCAGCAAATTAAGAGGTCATGAAGTACTTGGTGAAGCTCTAATGGAGGCTCTCACCGCTGCATAAAAACCAACAGCTAAGGTTGGAATTCATAGATACCGAAACATTGACTAGAAATAAAATGGTTTATTGAATTCATGAATTGTTTTCATTCTTCTGGATACAATACAATGGTTTAGCCTTCGAACAGTTAAGTCAAGTCTCGGGTATTTGGTTCATCTCAAACCTGAAATATTCTTCTTCATCATCCTCTTTCTCTTCCTCAGAGTAAATCCATCATCAACAGGTTCTAGAATTGCAGGAACAATCATTCCTGACAGGAGCCATTACAGAATAAACCAGTGAAGCGCAAGCTCCCGATGAAGGTCTAACCTGTTCATATTTGATGATGTTTCAAATCAAGGAAATTGCCCATCCATTTTTTAATTTTCATCTAAAGCATTAATCCAAAAAGTCCTAATTTTTCTCAGTTGCATAACCTAACGGTGCATGCCACAGCCTGTGCCCAGTATTTGAGCCTTGCTTTCACATCCTCAGGATGGTCACCTGGACAAACAAAAAGTTACCAAGAGGTCAGATGTTTGAAGATTTATATGTATTGAAGTGACATTGAAACAAAAGTAAAGAGATCAATCGGGAACCAAATCAAAACAAGAGTAACTTCACTTGGTTTGCATACACATCTCAAAGTAAGGAAAAAACACAAAAGTTGTAGAGTTGCTAGTCACAAAAACGGTACAGGAATTTTTCTGAAACAACTACCAACTACCAAGACTAACACTCTGAAAACTTGAGGACCCAGTTCATCATTTCAAATTTAATTCCATAGTCAGACAACCAAAATTTACATTTCATCTGCAGTACAAATAAAATCACAATGAACTGGATGATCATTTCATCTACAAACACTAGCTAGCTAAAAATATCACATTTTGGTTGTAAAAATTAAACCCCCCTCATCATTTAAAAAGAAAAACACTTCGATCAGATGAATTACAATGTTCAAGCCATAATGTCCACCAACAAAACTGAAAATTCTAAAACTTTCATGGAAACAAATTAAAAAATTGACAAAAACAAAGATCACTCACCAGGACTAGAGATCTTCCAATTGGCAATTGGACTTGAAACCGAAGGGCACGAATCAACTGTGGTCGGAGAATTCTCCGGCGACTTCTGGTTTTCGTCCATGAATTTCTGGCTCATAGAATAACAAAGCTCAAGAGCAGGCAAGGTGTTACAGAGCTCAGGAATCTCTTCGTAGCTGAACCCAAATCCCAGATCCAAACACCCTTTGAGCTCGTCAAGATCCTCATCCGTCAAGCTCTTGGTCCTCGACAAATCATCCTCATCGGCTGCCTCTACATACCCTTCAAGCAAAACCTGGTTCTTTTTCTTCTTCTTGCTCTTCAAGCTGTTCAGCTTCGGCCATTCTTCTTCTCCAATTCCTAGCATGATTTCAGAAGAAGAAGAGGTTTGTAGTGATTGATGGGTTTGCTCATCTGGGTTTTTTCGGATGGAAGAAACCCAAGATTCTGTTCCGCAAGTGAAGCCCTCCATCTCTCTGAAACTTTCTTGGTTTTTCTCTCTCTCTGTGTGAAACTTTCTCGCGAGTGCTTGTGAGAGAGGCAGAGAGTCGGCCTTTTAAAGTTGCACCTAGAGGGAAACAACCAAATATTTTCCCTTATTTTTTAATTTCTCAAACTTCCATATTGATTATTAATTAATTAATATATGGTCATCACGAACATACATACATGCATCATGAACATACATCCATGAAATGATTGTGTTGTGTGACGTGGACAGGACAGCTGTATTGTGAGGATGAGAAGACAAAAATCAGAAGTGGACACGTGGTGGTCGAGTGTACACAAAAAGCAGGATTGGACAACTGAAGAGTGGGGCCCAAATGGACTGGTTGTGTTGTGTGATTGGGCCCACCATGTTGTTAGATGGGATTTGTTTGCATGTGAAAGAAAGGCACGTGGGAGAGATGTTTCTTTTTGTAAGCAAAAGGCCAGAAAGGGGTGGGTTTGGTGTGAGTGGATGAATCCAGACCTTTGAATTTGTGTTTTGGTGATACTCGCTTGGTAAGGAGACAAAGAAAGCTTCATCTCAATGAGATGGTAATGGTAATGGTAGTGATCTTCCATTACGTCTGGTTTCTATCCATTTTATCCATACCTGGTTGATTTTGATACATATCCTTTTCCTTTTCTTTCTTTCTTTCTTAGAAGTGACGTTCATTTTGTTTTGTGATTTGAAGGCCACAAGTTTTTTAACACACTAAAAACACATTTTTGTTTTACTTTGTGGGAAGCTATGTATGAAGTTTGAATCATTCTTCCTTCTTAATCTATTACACACGTACTAGTAGGTTGTTAAGAGTGTCAGATATTGAAGGATGAGAGCTTAGTTAAGAACTTCAAATATCTCAGGCTTCTTCACCTATATTGTCAGTAGGTTTTGGGCTAGACGGTCACTTTGTACATATTGTATCATGCCCCATATGCTACCACATCACCTAATAAAAATAGTCCACGTGCCTATTTATAAACGCTCCTAAGAAATGTGGTTGAGTCCCTTTGGTTGGTGGTCGACTTAGTGAATTAAGTGGGAATGTGGTCATCATGAGTCATGACCATATTTCTAACTCATAAGAGATTTGAGGGATCACATTTCACAACTAGCAAGAATTTCAACTTAGTCTTGAAGGTGTTGAATATGTCATAGCACTATATATGGTGGCTGAATCTAGATCCACAATGCCAATTAGCAAAAATGGTAACATGCGGCGATGTAAGCATCTATTGTAATCGTCGAAGGAATATATCACAGAATGAATAAGCAGCTTGTAACTTTGGTTTGGAATGCACATACGTACTTAGTAGATGGGAGGGTTCAATTATGATTTAAAAGATGCTTTATCAATGAGGTAGTAACTTGGAGTGCAACAATGTACATACTTGTAATCTTTAGTGTCGTTTTGAGATGCTCACTATCATCCCCAAGACTTTTATGGTCAAGGTTGTGCTCCAAAAAACACAATTGAGTTCTACAATCTTCTACTTCCTAGAGGAATTTAATGAAGCAATAGTCTAAATTATAGGGGGAGGAGGGTTTTTCACACACACACACACACTAAAACGATGTCATGGTGGTGCGAACCTGAAACCACTAGTATGCAAGTCAAGGCTCTTTTCCACTGGGATAAACCCCATTGGCTGTTAAAGCAAAATTAAGTCACACTTTTTCAAAATTAACAAAAAATATCAAGTTAGGGCCAGTTTGGCATTGCTATGCTGTGAAAATAATAGTTGTCAGATTTGCTGTGAGAGAAAGCAGTTTGGCGTTTGGTAAAATTTTTATTAAAAGCGTTGTTAGTACTGATTCTCGCATAATCAGAAAATGATTGCCACATAATCATTAAACTCAGCGCCTCTTCGAAATTGATTCCTGCATAACCAGAAAATGAAAGCACCTAATTAGTTGCTTTCTCTTATAGCTTTCTCTTACATCAATTTTTAATAATAAGTGATTTTCTCATAGTTTACATGGGTTGGGCTTCCCAACTTTTTAAAAAAAATCACTTATCACCCCAAATAAGCAATGCCAAATGGGCACTTAGTCAAAATAGAGCATTGTTAGAGTAACATTTTAATTATATTTTTATTTATCTATTATTTTAGATATTTACTAAATAGTTGTTATATAATTTTTTATTGTAATTGATTTTGTTTTTTTTGTTTTATGATTTTCTACTTAAAGTAGTTCAAGATTTCAAAACCTCAAAATTCCCACACACAAAAAAAAAAAATCGACAGGTCTTCTAAGCAATTAAAAAAGAAAATGACAGAGAGAGCACATTTATAAACCACCTTGTGTATCACTTCTCTAATAATAGTGGAGCCTCTACCCCTATTAGAGACGTGGCACACAAGATGATATGTATAAATGTTATCTTCCTAACATTACCTAAATCGAACCCGTTTAATAAACGTGTCTTGTTGGGTTGACTCACTCATTTCCCGTGTGGGTTTCAAGTCGTGTATCGGGTTGACTCGCTAAGTGACAGCAATTAAACGAATTAAAAATAATTAGAAAAATGAAGAATAATCAAAGAAACGGGTTAGCGGGTTGGCGGGTTGGGGGTTAGCGGGTTATACATGTATTTTAGCGAGTTAGTGGGTTATACGGGTATTTTAACGGGTTGACGAGTTTAGGGTTTAGCAGGTTGACGGGTTACATAGGTATTTTAGTAGGTTAAATAGGTATTTTTGCAGGTTAGCGAGTTGACTTGTTTAATAAATGGGTTACATACGTATTTTAGTGGGTTAGTAGGTTATCAGAAACCTACCCTTTTATTAAATGGATCACGAAGAATTAATCTGAAAATGACTCGAAAATGTAATCATATGAGCTGACCTGCTAATTTTCCATACAGATTTCGAGTCATGTATCAAATTTTGTCGGAAATTATCATCCCGAAGTGTGGCTATAAATATGGTGGGAGATGGGAACGTGTTTGGTGCCTTTTTTAACTTTCGTTGTAACTCTTACAAATACGTTCAAACCTTCGTCAATTATTGGCAATGGCAAAAGAATAAGGAGATGGTAGGTCTTTGTTGTGCAGTGTGCACCAAAACTTTCTCATATCCCCAAAAGATCTTTTTTCTTCTTCTTTTCGGCTCATAATTGTCATTTTTCACAGCTAAGCATAGGCCAACAAACCCTCTCCCAACAATAGAAAATAAATCAATTTGGCTATAAAAAAATATATAAAAAAAATTCAAGCCGAAATAAAGTATTATTAATTATTTGGTTGCCTTGCAAATTATTATTTTTCACTTCACGAATATTGGGGTAAAATTTAAAACCAAATAAAATAGTAATTTGCGCTTTTGGTTTGTGGTGATGAGTGAGAGAAAATGTACAGACAAAAAGACACCCAAAAAAACAGCCACCAATCCATTAGCAAACTAATCATTGATTTGTTTTAAAAAGGTTCCTTCCCACCAACTTTTTACCAAAAAGGACATAAAAAATAATAGGAAAACCTTTTTTTAATCTCTCATAAAAACTAAAATAAAATAAAATTTGATATTTATGTGAAACTTGGTTGTATTGCATTCCATGATTGGTTGGAGAGATATTACGAAAGAACCCTCTGGAACGTATCTCATTGGTCACTGATCCCCTACGTCTGTGCCGCGCGTTAACTTCCCTGCGACAGCAATGTCATTGGGCTTGATGCTTCGTTTGACCACGTGGCGCAAACTTTGTGGACCCGGATTGATCACAGGATAACAAACCTGCTGTAGGTGTACATGGAAGCATTAGTTTGGGGGATCCACTTGGTGTGTATTTGTCTTCTGCTCACCGAAATGCTGACTCGTGCTTCCCGCGAAATTATTAAGAGATTGTGACGGGCCACGTGGGTTGTTGGCCAGTTCTTGTCTTATTGGATGACCACCGAATAGCTTTTGACCACGTGGCATGTCGTGCAACACGAAATGCATGCACTGCATACATGGATGGACATAACTAACATGCATGCATGGATGGACACGAAATGCATGCATGAATGGACATAACATAACTAACATACATCATCATCATCATGTAAATGGTATATGGTTGAGTCGTGGGACCCACAAAAGCAGTAGCTAAGAATAGGCTGATAAGTGATAAGCTCGGCTTATATGATTGAGTTGTGGGACCCACAAAGCCAGTGGCTAAGAATGGGCTGATAAGTGATAAGCTCGGCTGATGGCTTATATATGAGGATTAGATTTAGATTTGGAATATTCGTGGTCAATGGATAGCTGAAGTATCCTATACGTATTCTCTTTTATTGGATGCTGGATATAAGGGGGAGAGCAATGGAATATGCGTGAGGGTCTCTCTTCAACACCCAAACTTCTTATTATACCCAACTTTCTACTTTGTTCTATGTGATTTTAACACTACCACCGTAATTTGATACTCATCCTAATTTAAAGATATGTTCAAATTTCTATTCAATTCCGGAATAAAGTAAGCATGCTATTTCTGTATGTCATGACAAGATGAACCACTACTTCAACATCAGAATCAAAATGTTCTTACTCTCTATTTGGTCTTACTTTGAACCTTAGAGAAATTGAACAAAATCTCAACGTAGGAATTGAAATTTTTTAGGAGCACCAAAGTAGATGACATTAGTAGACATAAATACTACTCTACGTGAATTGGACGGGAATTTAGATGTGACCTTGCATTGTGATGGATATCAAACTAAAAGGGTCAAATCACCATAATTGAAACTATAGGTACCAAAGTGAAAAATATGGCAAATTAGAGGGCTAGAAAGTGACATTTTGCCTCTTATTATTATTATTTTCATAATTCTTTTAATACATTAGTTTAGACTAACATTAGTGTAGCACCTTATATAGAACAATAATATTGAACTCATCAAAATTTTGCAAGGGGCTTGTTGCTCAAGTGATTAAAGATATTTCTTGCATTCGAGATCCTAAGTTCGATTAATACTCCTTTAATATATGGCTTGTATAAAAATTTTTTTAAAAAAAACTCATCAAATTTATTTGTCAAATAAATACATTATAAAGTGAATTTAGATTTGAATAAACAATAGTGCGTGGTAATAAGTGGCTTCATCTCCTCATCTGTCACTCTGGTTCACTAATGTGATCTAACAATGATTCCTCTATATTATTCTGTTTTGTTTTCTCTCAAGCTACAAACTAATTGTGTTTGGCACATTTCGATTTCATGCCTGTGCAAATTTAATAACGCTACGGGCACCAACTTATTTACTAACTTTTTAATATGAATACACGTGGCACATGCTGCCATCTCATTTTTTTTAATTACATATTTTGTTCCAAAAAAAGAACTTCAGCCAGCAAAAATTTGTTTTAATTACATGTTTTTTTTTTCATTGTTTCTTTCTTTTTTATTTTTTAATTTTGATAGGTGAAATTCTTTTTTTGGAACAAAATATTTAATGGCAGATGACATGAGCACTGGCGGCGGCGCAACCACACTAAGGGCTACAGTGGGCTATAGCCCAGTTTGGTTTTTGAAGGGAAAAAAAAAATCAAACCTATATATTTAACTTGTTTTAAATATTTGCCCAGTATAAATTAACTTACTAAAGTACAAAAAAGTCCAATTTTTTATGAATTTTGCTGCAGCCAAGCGATAAATATGCATTAAAATAGGTACACTTTCAACTATATTGTTTAACATATTTTTATTTTGATAATATGTATGTTCTTCAGTTGCATTTAATATGTTTGTTTTATGATAAAGTTTATTGGAAATTAGTCAATAGAGCTACGAATTAACGTGGTTTATATGATTTAATGTTTTACTTTTATTTCTAGAAAGATTATAGAAATTGTAAGTACCAAAAAAAAAAAAAAAATCATTAGATTTTAAGCTAATAACTTTAGCTAGCTCGCCCATTAAAAAATTCAAATAAAAAGATTTATTGTTCATAAAAACAAGAAAACAAAAATGGTATGTTAGGCCATCTCAAAACCATAGTGTTAAAAGCTAAATTTAAGGTTTTTAGCCGGAAACCCATCTTTAATCCATGCATTGCATAGGGCTAAAAACCTGTATGGGTAATAAGTTGGGCTAAATTTTGCCTGATGTTTGGCATGGACCGGATTATTGGTGCAAATTTACTTCATATGTATTTTATAGATAGATACTAAAATAGAAGTCCAAAAAATGATGTTGTTTTGTATACATGCACGAGATTAACGCTTAAAAATCAGCCTAGAACCTAGAGATAGAGATTCTCATATAAAGATGAAGAAAGTAAGCATGAACATGGATGTTTGAAGCCATTGAATTACCAAGATTACGAAGCTCCAAAAACAATAACATTTTCCAAATCCAACTCTACACAATATTCAAGCTTATAGGTGAATTTATTTCTCAAAATGTAGATTTGTTTTTTAAGCATGCCCACTCAATCGATACTTTCCACATCTAACTAATGTTATTTACCAGAAAAAATCCAAGCAGAGGACCCGAATCGATAAATAGTAATTTCGTATATAATTAGGAAGTCAGGTCAATAATGCAAATCTGAGCTAAGATAGGGCAGCCTTGATACACGCATTAGTTCCCTAATAATATATTTCTCTATTTCAAAGGCTTTCTCACCAAATTACCAGTAAAGCTGAGCTGGTGGCTTGGCATTGCAGGATTTTGAGGCTGGTGGGAATGGATTAAAATAAAACACAATGATTGATTTAGCTGACAAAAGAATATCTAAATTAATAGTATAATATTAGCCATTATTAAAGTGTAGACTAATATACTATAAGCCAAGGCAAGTTGACGATGGCTTTTGAACATGGGATATAGATAGGCAACGGGATTATTCCATGAATACCGGATTACAAAGACCTAGTCCAGTGAGAAAGCTAGACAGGACAAAGGATTTTGGACATGAAATGTTGACAAATCAATCCGAAAGCTCCACCCACTTTCATATAATAATTACGTGTTAAGGAGAAACGTATTGTTTTTTTTTTTGAAAGGGAACGATATATTGAGAAAAGAAATTAAAGCAAGTTAGCAGCCCCATTACAGAGACGCGAGACATGGGAGAGCGTTGTCTCGGGGAGATGACTCAAAAGAGTCCTAGCATCTTCAAAGAGATTTGAAGATGCTAGAGAGAAGAGGAATCAGGATTCCTCGATAAAATAGCTTGCACAGTATTAAGAGAGTCGGACTCTAGGGCAAGCGGAGAGAGACCAAGGGAAGAACCCAGGCGAAAGCCCTCACACACAGCCAGCAGCTCAATGTGGTCAGCCTGAAAAACAGAAGTGAAACGTTTGATGCAGGCAGAAATGAAGTTACCCAGAGAATCACGAATCACCACACCAACGCCACCCAAGCCGAGAGCACAGTTCAGAGCCCCGTCAACATTGATCTTGAAACACCCAACTGGAGGAGGCTGCCACTTGGGGGGCTCGATAGTTCTATGAATGTGAGGAACAGAGTTTGCCATGGTGTAGTCCGAAAGCCAAGACGCAGCAAGAATAGCCACATTATCGGGAGAAGTCCGAGATCCCTCCCACAAATGAGAGTTACGCTCCTTCCAGATTGCCCAGAGGATCATCAAAACTAAGCAAAAGT